TGGTGGTCAGTGGGCCCCTTAGATTGGTGGTCAGTGGGCCCCTTAGATTGGTGGTCAGTGGGCCCATTAGATTGGTGGTCATTAGGAAATGTACTTTCTTATAATGCTGGATAAAGACCCTCCTCTATTGGTGGTCAGTGGGCCCATTTGATTGACAGTAAGTGAAAGAGGTACCCCTTACACTTGTGGTCAGTGCAGAAGAACCATCTTATATTGGTGGTAGATGGAGAAGGACCCTCTGATATTGGTGATAGGTGGAGAATGACCCTCCTATATACAGTTGCAAGAAAAAGTATGTGAACCCCTTGCGATTACGTGGAGTTTTGCATGAATTGGGCATAAAATGTGCTCTGAACGTCATCTAAGTCACAACAATAGAAGAACACAGTCTGCTGAACATAATACTACACAAACATTAGATGTTGCCATGGTTTAATTGCACATAACATGTAAACATTCACAGTGCAGGGAGGAAAAAGTATGTGAACCTTTGGACTTAATAACTGGTTGGCCCTCCTTTGGCAGCAATAACCTCAACCAAACGTTTCCTGTAGTTGCAGATCAGACCTGCACAACGATCTGGAGTCATTTTGGGCCACTCCTCTTCACAAAACTGTTTCAGTGTAGCAATATTCTTGGGATGTCTGGTGTGAATCGCTCTCTTAAGGTCATGCCACAGCATTTCAATGGGGTTGAGGTCAGGACTCTGACTGGGCCACTCCAGAAGGCGTATTCTGTGCTGTTGCAGCCATTGTTTTGTTGAATTACTTGCATGCTTTGGGTCATTGTCCTGTTGCATCACCCATCCTCTGCGGAGCTTCAGTTGGCGGACAGATGGTCGTACGTTTTCCTGCAAAATGTCTTAATAAACTCTGGAATTCATTTTCCCATCAATGACAACAATCCGTCCAGCCCTGAGGCAGCAAAGCAGCCCCAAACTATGATGCTCCCTCCGCCATGTTTCACAGTGGGGATGAGGTTTTGATATTGGTGAGCTGGGCCTTTTTTCTCCACACATAGTGTTGTGTGTTCTTCCCAAACAACTCAATCTTGGTTTCATCTGTCCACAGTATATTCTGCCAGTAGTGCTGTGGAACATCCAGGTGCTCTTTTGCAAACTTCAAACGTGCTGCAATATTCTTTTTGGCCAGCAATGGCTTCCTCCGTGGTGTCCTCCCATGTACTCCATTCTTGTTTAATGTTTTCCTGATTGTAGATGTGTCAACAAAAATGTTAGCATGTGCCAGAGATTTCTGTAGGTCTTTAGCTGACACTCTGGGATTCTTCTTTACCTCATGCAGCATTCTGCGCTGTGCTCTTGCAGTCATTTTTACAGGACGACCACGCCTAGGGAGAGTAGCAACAGTGCTAAACTTTCTCCATTTGTAGACAGTCTGTCTTACCGTGGACACAGGAACATCAAGGCTTTTGGAGATACTTTTGTAACCCTTTCCAGCTTCATGCAAGTCAACAATTCTTGATCGTAGGTCTTCTGAGAGCTCTTTTCTGTGAGGCATGATTCACATCAGACAGTGCTTCTTGAAAGCAGTAAACCCAAAACAGGTGTCAGCAACACATCCAATATCATCACAATGATTGGAGTCAAGGTTGGCTCACTCATGGCTCCAATTAGCTCTGGGAGAAGTCATTAAGCTAGGGCCTCACATACTTTTTCCTCCCTGCGCTGTGAATGTTTACATGTTATGTGCAATTAAACCATGGCAACATCTAATGTTTGTGTAGTATTATGTTCAGCAAACTGTGTTCTTCTATTGTTGTGACTTAGATGACGTTCAGAGCACATTTTATGCCCAATTCATGCAAAACTTCACGTAATCCCAAGGGGTTCACATACTTTTTCTTGCAACTGTAGATGGTGGGTGGTGAAGGACCCTCCTGTATAGATGGTGGGTGGTGAAGGACCCTGTTATATGGTGAAGGACCCTCTTATATTGGTGGTGGGTGAAGAACCATCTTATATTGGTGATAGGTGGAGAAGGACCCTCCTGTATAGATGGTGGGTGGTGAAGGACCCTGTTATATGGTGAAGGACCCTCTTATATTGGTGGTGGGTGAAGAACCATCTTACATTGGTGGTAGGTAGAGAAGGACCCTCCTATATAGATGGTGGGTGGTGAAGGACCCTCTTATATGGTGAAAGATCCTCTTATATTGGTGGTGGGTGGTAAAGAACCCTCTTATATTAGTGGTGGGTGGAGAAGGATCCTCCTATATGGGTGATAGGTGGAGAAGGACCCTCCTGTATAGATGGTGGGTGGTGAAGGACCCTGTTATATGGTGAAGGACCCTCTTATATTGGTGGTGGGTGAAGAACCCTCTTATATTGGTGATAGGTGGAGAAGGACCCTCCTGTATAGATGGTGGGCGGTGAGGGACCCTGTTATATGGTGAAGGACCCTCTTATATTGGTGGTGGGCGAAGAACCCTCTTATATTGGTGATAGGTGGAGAAGGACCCTCCTATATAGATGGTGGGTGGTGAAGGACCCTCTTATATGGTGAAGGACCCTCTTATATTGGTGGTGGGTGGTAAAGAACCCTCTTATATTAGTGGTGGGTGGAGAAGGATCCTCCTATATTGGTGATAGGTGGAGAAGGACCCTCCTGTATAGATGGTGGGCGGTGAGGGACCCTGTTATATGGTGAAGGACCCTCTTATATTGGTGGTGGGCGAAGAACCCTCTTATATTGGTGATAGGTGGAGAAGGACCCTCCTATATAGATGGTGGGTGGTGAAGGACCCTCTTATATGGTAAAGAACCCTCTTATATTGGTGGTGGGTAGAGAAGGATCCTCCTATATTGGTGGTGGGTGAAGAACCCTCTTATATTGGTGATAGGTGGAGAAGGACCCTCCTGTATAGATGGTGGGTGGTGAAGGACCCTCTTATATTGGTGGTAGGTAGAGAAGGATCCTCCTATATTGGTGGTGGGTGGAGAAGGACCCTTTTATATTAGTGGTGGGTGGAGAAGGACCCTCTTATATTAGTGGTGGTGGTAAAGGGCCCTCTTATATTGGTGATGGGTGGTGAAAGACCCTTTTATATTGATGGTGGGTAGAGAAGGATCCCCTTATATTGGTGGTAGGTAGAGAAGGACCCTCCTATATTTGTGGGGGGGCGGAGAGAAGGACCCTCTTATATTGGTGGTGGGTGAAGAACCCTTCCATAGAAATGGTGGGTGGTGAAGGACCCTCTTATATGGTGAAGGACCCTCTTATATTGGTGGTGGGTAGAGAAGGACCCTCCTATATAGATGGTGGGTGGTGATGGACCCTCTTATATGGTTAGGGACCCTCTTATATTGGTGGTGGGTGGTAAATGACCCTCTTATATTGGTGGTGGGTTGAGAAGGACCCTCTTATATTGGTGGTAGGTAGAGAAGGACCCTCCTAAATTGGTGGTGGGTGGAGAAGGACCCTCCTATATTGATGTCAGTGGTTACTCCTCAGATAGGCAGAAACTATTTAATGATCAAGAAACCCCTACAACCTTTGGAGGAACCCTAATTGAGAAAGGCTACCTCAGAGAGTGGTGACTGGAACCAGGGAAGATGATGTAGTGTTTCCTCACATGGTGGTCAGTGGATTAATGCCCACCTACATTGATGGTCAATGGAAAAGTGCCTTCTTACACTTAACGCTAGCTAAAATAAATGGTCAATGGTGTCAGTGGTAACTCCTCTGAGAGGCAGAAATTTCCTAACACAAGGAACCGCTAGCAACCTTTGGAGGAACTCTTGTTCCACAGAAGCCTGGTTGAGAAAGGTTGCTCCAGAGAGTGGCGAGGCAACATTATTACTCCACATATTTTTAGAGGTTCAGATTTTGGTCTTAAAATATATATATATCTAAAGCTTAAACCTTGGTTTTAGTTTTGGATGGAGTAGGGAGGGGTTAGCATCTCTGCCAGGTATTTATAGCTGTCTGTATCTCCACTAAGGAGTTTCACCCGATTTGTCCTCGTATGGTGACCAATGTGACCGGAGCTGAAAGAAAGGTAAACTTGTAACGAATAGAGGGAATATCTTCCTATGGCTCAATTACGGTTTGTTCATATTGCTGCCAGTCATGCCCTGATGAAGGAGGAGCTTGGACCCCCAATGCTAGTTGTTTGAAGGAGGTGCTTGGACCCCCAATGGTAGTTGTTGTCTGAAGGAGGCGCTTGGACCCCCAGTGGTAGTTGTCTGAAGGAGGCGCTTGGACCCCAAATACTAGTTGTTGTCTGAAGGAGGTGCTTGGACCCCCAATGCTAGTTGTTGTCTGAAGGAGGCGCTTGGACCCCCAATACTAGTTGTTGTCTGAAGGAGGCACTTGGACCCCCAATGCTAGTTGTTGTCTGAAGGAGGTGATTGAACCCCCAATGCTAGTTGTTGTCTGAAGGAGGTGCTTGGACCCCCAATGCTAGTTGTTGTCTGAAGGAGGTGCTTGGACCCACCCCAATGCTAGTTGTCTGAAGGAGGTGCTTGGACCCCCAATGCTAGTTGTTGTCTGAAGGAGGTGCTTGGACCCCCAATGCTAGTTGTCTGAAGGAGGTGCTTGGACCCCCAATGCTAGTTGTTGTCAGAAGGAGGCGCTTGGACCCCCAATACTAGTTGATGTCTGAAGGAGGCGCTTGGACCCCTAATGCTAGTTGTCTGAAGGAGGCGCTTGGACCCCCAATGCTAGTTGTTGTCTGAAGGAGGTGCTTGGACCCCCAATACTAGTTGATGTCTGAAGGAGGCGCTTGGACCCCCAATGCTAGTTGTTGTCTGAAGGAGGCGCTTGGACCCCCAATGCTAGTTGCTGTCTAAAGGAGGCTTTGTCTAAATTTTCAGAGATTTTTCCTCACTTCCTATCTTGTCTACACAGCAGGAAGTGAAGGAAAATCTCCCCAATTGTACACAAAAAGTACCGGCATGGGTTTTAACCACTTTTTTTTTGTTTTGTTTAGATATACTTCAAGATCCTCTTCTCTCTCCACTGCACTGATGTCGGCTGACAATGATCCCTCTACAGAACGCCAGCGACACTCCGCCTCTGGGGGCCGAGGGGGAAGAAGGACACACGGACCCCTCTCCATGTGTGTTGGGTTACATCCCGGTGATTTATTACAGCATCCTTCTAGGGCTTGGCTTACCAGGTACGTCTTAGGACTAAAATAATAAAAGGTGTAATATAAAAAGAAAAAAATAAATAATTGACCAAAAAAAATGACTGGATTGGTCGGCTGTCATCGATCTTTGTCACAATCGCCTTGTTCTGGATTGGATCCTAAACATAACTCCGATGTAGGAAACAACAAGCACAATTTAGTCAAGTCAGCAACAGACAACACAATGTAACACAATGTAACTAGACTTACAGATACAATGTAACAGAACATACTGGACCAGGAATTGCCCAGTAGCATCAGTCAGGCAGGAGATCAGGAAGTAGCCAACGCGTTTCGGGGGACCAAGCGTCCCCTTCATCAGGGCTTGAGCGTGCAAAAAATGTGAACAAACCAGAATTGAACTGGACCGACAATGGTACTTTGGTAGTTTGTTGGGCCAAACGACGACCCTAACTAACCCTGAGGTATGTGCTTGTAATTCATACATATGATAGCCCACATGGAAGAAAAATATATTTGAAATATATTTTACAAATATTCTTCCCAAATATATTGACATATATTTGAAATTCTACAATTTTGGCCGTATTCAACATATTTCAATAAATATATATATATATACTGTATGTTGAAATGCATTTTTATTACAACATTTTTGAAAAATATTTTTAAAAATACATTTTCAAATATACTGTATGCATGTCTGTAAAAATACAAATCTACATTTTTGGAACGCATTTACAAACATATGTAAAAATATATGTTAAAATAACTTTTTTTATATGTTAAAAAAAATATGAAGAATATATTTTAAAAACATATAAATATTTTTTTTATTTTTTTAAAATATATTCTTTAGATTTTTTTTTAACATAAAAAAGTCATTTTTACAAATATTCATAAATGCATTCCAAAAATGTAGATTTTTATATGTGAATTGTATTTTTACAGACATGCATACAGTATATTTGAAAATTTACTTTTAAAAATATTTTTCATATATTTTGTAATAAAAAATGCATTTCAACATACAGTATATATATATATATTTGTGGAAATATATTTTGAAATATATTGAGTACAGCCAAAATTGTAGTATTTCAAATATATGTCAATATATTTGGGAAGAATATTTTTAAAAGATATTTCAAATATATTTTTCTTCCATGTAGGAGGTCCAGCTCAGTTCTGGTTTGTTCACATTGTTGCCAGACAGGCCCTGATGAAGGGGACGCTTGGACCCCCCAAATGAAAACTTGCTAGGAGGAGAGCCATTGGGGGAATCCAGGATGGAAAATGATCTGGGGGTCCTAGTAAATGACAGACCGAGCGAAAGCATGCAATGCCAAGCAAGGCCAGCAGACTATCAGCATGTACAACAAAGGGGAATACTCCAGAGATAAAACCATAATCCTGGCACCTTCTAAAAGTCCGGTCACATCTGGAGTAGGCCATCCGGTTCTGGTCACATCTGGAGTAGGCCATCCGGTTCTGGTCACATCTGGAGTAGGCTGTCCAGTTTTGGACACATCTGGAGTAGGCCGTCCGGTTCTGGTCACATCTGTAGTAGGCTGCCCAGTTCTGGTCACATCTGGAGTAGTCCGGCAAGTTCTGGTCACATCTGGAGTAGGCCATCCAGTTCTGGTCACATCTGTAGTAGGCTGCCCAGTTCTGGTCACATCTGGAGTAGGCCGTCCGGTTTTGGTCACATCTGGAGTAGGCCGTCCAGTTCTGGTCACATCTGGAGTAGGCCGTCCAGTTCTGGTCACCAGTCCTCAAGGAGGATGTGCTGGAACTGCAGAGAGCCCAGGGAAGGACAACAAAGCCAACAGAGGGACTAATAAAGGGACTGGAGGACCTCAGAATGGCTACAAACATGAAACTTCTTCTCCCTGGAGAAGAGATGTGTGAGAGGAGACATGATAGGTAGGGATGTATTTACCACAAGGCAAACCAGGCATTTGCCTAGGGCGGCATTTTTCAGGGGGGCAGTGCTGGCCCCTGGAAGAGGGGACTGATGAAGGGGCACACACGGCACCAGGTAGGATCCGAGAGAGGCTGCAGGCTGGTTGATAAATGCAGAACCTAACTCTCGTTCCTGAGGATGTCCGGAGCCGTGAAGATGAGTGTCTTTCTCTCTGGGGAAGGTGGTGTATGGGGGGCAATGGTAGTGGAAGGCTCTCTCGGATGGGGTGGAAGGGGCGTTGTTGGTCAATGCCTCAGGCTCTATCCTCCACGGGGGGTGGAGTTGGTCGGTGTCAGGCTTCCTCCATGGGGGAAGGGGGGGCTGTGGTGAATGATTTTTTTTTGTGTTGCGTAGGGAGAACAGAACAGAACCTACACACACCACTGATGGCGCTCTTCTTGGTGGGACATTTTTGGCCCCGAAGCCTTGAATGGAAAAAATTGAAAATGCATCAAAACCGCATGAAAAAGATTGCAGGAAAATGCAGACAAGTGTGGACCTAGCCTACAGGTTCAGTATGCTACGGGGGGGGCTTCCTAGCTTACAGGTTCAGGATCCTACGGGGGGGGGTCTCATTTTTTTGTGTTACTGATGGATCCTACGGGGGGGGCTTCCTAGCTTACAGGTTCAGCATCCTACGGGGGGGATGTCTCCATTTTTTGTGTTGCCTAAGGATCCTACGGGGGAGGGGCTTCCTAGCCTACAGGTTCAGGGTCATACAGGGGGGGTTCTTAATTTTGGTGTTACCTAGGATCCTACAGTGGGAGGTCTAGCCTACAGGTTAAGGGTCCTACGGAGGGGGGGGGTCCTGATTTTTTGTGTTACCTGTGGATCCTACGGGGGGGGGGCTTCCTAGCCTACAGGTTCAGGGTCCTATAGTGGGGGGTCTAGCCTACAGGTTCAGGATCCTACAGGGGGGGGGGGCGATTTTTTTGTGTTGCCTAGGGACAACAAAACCTACACACACCACTGATGGTAGGCGCTCTTCTTGGTGGGACATTTTTGGCCTCATAGCCTTCGATGGGAAAGATTGAAAATGTATCAAAACCGCATTAAAAAGATTGCAGGAAGACGCATGAAAATGCAGACAAGTGTGACCTCAGCCTGCAGGTTCAGGATCCTACGGGGGGGGGGGGGGGGGGCGGTCTAGCCTGCAGGTTCAGGATCCTACGGGGGGCCTTAGCCTGCAGGTTCAGGATCCCATCGGATCAACGCGCTCATCTCTTAATTTCTACCTATTTTGTTCGAACGCGGAAGAGCCCGGTGCTGTCAGCCATTAAGAACCCGAAAGGCCCATCACCCGGGCAACCTGGGCTGACGGCGGCGCGGCGGATATTGCGGGGAAAGCTGCTAATTATCACATTACTCCTAATTCTGTTATCGAATGCTCAGGAGCCAAGCGGCATAAACAAGGAGGATTATCTGCCACTTTGCGCAGGAAGTACGGATCGGCGGCCGCGGCATTGTTAACCCCCATAAATGAGGCGACGGGGGACATTTAACCTTTTATCAGAGCTTAATGAGCCCGAGCGTCACGCATGAAATATTCAGGAACCGCACAACGTCCCGCGCATGAGTAACGGCATATCAGGAGGGGGGGAGGAGAAAATAAATAAATGGAAGTTCTTAAAGGGGGAGTATACCGGAAATATATCCAGCGCAGATTTTACATGACAAAAGTTTTGGTTTTTAAGTCTGTATCCATCTAGAACATTGGATAGAGCGGGGGAGGGTTGGAACCCCATTGTGTTTTGCTGCTAATTAGGACTCCTTTAGTCTAGGTTCACACCAAAACGTTTTCTGCTGCGTTTTGCAGAAATGAACAGCAATTCATTTAACATGATATCCTATGGGACGCGTTCTCATCTCCGCGTTTCCACCTGCTGCGTTTTTTGGAAAGGGTCAGGGACTTTTTTAAGGGCAGGTTCACACTCCATGCGTTTCAGTTGCTTTTTTTCTGCATCCATAACACACAGAAAGTAGGTGACATAGTGATCAATGTCATAGTTCACATCAGCGCTTGTAGTTCCAGTTGCAGAAAAAAAGTAGAACAGGCTGCATTTTTTCTACACAGAACTGTACTGGAACGCGGTAAAACGCATAAAAAATGCACAGAAACGCAGCAAAACACACCAGAAATGCACATGTCCATATTTTTAAGGACCAGTTCACACTCCATGTGTTTCAGTTGCTTTTTTTCTGCATCCAAAACGCACAGAAAGTATTTTTTCTGCACAGGACTGTACTGGAGCGCAGTAATACGCATCAAAAACGCACCGGAACACACATGTCCCTATTTAAATTAAAGGAAAAGAGGAGAAAAAATTAAGTGGAATGCATAAAAAATGCAACGGAACACTTCAAAAACACGCATGTGGAAACGCATCTGGAATGCATCTAGGCTGCGTTTCTACAGTGTGAACCGGCCCTAAACGCAAAATGTTGTGTTTTTGGTTCTATAGACATCAATGGAGACGCTGCAGTAAAGCATGTAGTGCGTTTTTTGCTGTATTTTGCGGTTTAATCTGCCTAGCAACAGGAGAAAAACATTTTTTAAAACGCATGTGCAAAAAAGCACTGCAGAAATGGATCAAAGGCATCGAAAACGCACCGGAACACGTCAAACACGCGCATGCGCAAACGTATCTGGAATGCATCTAGACTGCGTTTCTATAGTGTGAACTGGCCCTAAGCGCAAAAAGTTGCATTTTTGGTCTATAGACTTCAATGCAGACGCTGCAGAAAAGCATGTAATGCGTTTTTGCTGTGTTTTTGCGTTTTAATCTGCCTAGCAACAAGAAAAAAAAATTAGAACATTTTTTAAAAACGCATCAAATGTGCAAAAAAGCACTACAGAAATGGACCAAATGGGGGGGGTCAAAAGGATCAAATGAATCAGAAATGGGGGGGGGGGTCTTATCGGAACCTGGTATACTTCTTCAGCAGCAAGGGGTCCCCCAGATACTGGCCTGCCCCCATGCGAATGAGAAAGGGGGGGTACATACAGTCAGGGCTCTGTTAGAAATCACGGGGCCCCATACAGCCAACCTAACAGGGGCCC